ATACCAAAATGTATACCAATGGTACAAACCATTTCTTTGTTCAAGCAACAAGAATCCTTGTCTGCAGTAGTAAGATAACTACCCAGTTTGTCTGCCTGCTTCCACTTTCCTCTCCAAATTATTTTCCCTCACAGCATCCAGATGCTATTTTATAAACATACTTCCAATCAGATTGTGGGCGTGTGTGTGTGTGTGTGTATGTGTGTGTGTGTGTGTACTGAAATTCCCGTAATGTTTCCCAATTTTAATTAACGGTGAAACACTCAAATTATGTCTGTTTTTTTTGTTGTTGTTGTTGTTGTTTTTTCCAGTACCGGGAATTGAACTCTTGGTCTTGCACTTGCCAGGCAGGCGCTTGCTGCTGAGCTAAATCCCCAGCCCCCAAACACTCAAATTCTGAACATGTTCTCTTAGGTTGTATGTTATCCAGCCTCTGTTACCTTTTTGATCTCTTCCAAAAGCATTCTTTTGGCTTTCCACATACAAGTTTGCTACATGTTTGTTCTTTTCTTGGCCAAAAATGCCCTTCTCCTTATGATTTGCTAGATATTTGTATTTATCGTTCTATTTTTCAGTTCTTTGGAAAGATCTGTTATGGCCACAATTTGTTAATATTTTCATTTTTAAACCCCTGTTCTTTTACTGTACTTATTAACACAATTTATCAGTGTGTGTATTTATTTGTTTGTGTGTTTAATTCTTCTCTCATAACATAGTAAAATTTATAAGGACTACCATATAGAGACCAGACAATATCAGAATTTATCTGTTTTTAGTTTAATTTCTACAGCACAAATTATTATATTGAAAATAGTAATAAACATATGTATCAAAGTAATGAAAGAACCCATTATGTTTATTTTCAGGATAATCTACTTGTTTAGTACAGATGCAGTTTTTTAAACATGTTACCAATCTGCACACAATTGGGAAAAATTCATCTGTTCTAAATAAGTAGAGACTTTTATGCATATTATTTTCTAAATATTATACATTAAAAACTATTGACATAGCTTTTTTATATTGTATTAGATTTTTTCTTTTAGTCCTGGGAATTGAACTCAGGACCTTGCACCTGCCAGGCAGGGTTTGTGCTGCTGAGCTAGATCCTCAGCCCTGTTTTAGATCTTATAAATCACATATACATCAAACAGATTATGCATTATTACAACTTTTGATTCTGTATTTTGTAATACTATGTTACTGTGAAGAAACATTGTTTTTTCATTGATTCCGTATGTATGTCTGTTACTATTACTATTTTTATTATCACATCCATGCATTATAACAACTACTTACACTATTTTTTAAACATTGTATTAGGTCCTGTAAGTTAGCTAGTGATGATTTAAATCAAGTATACAAGAAAATGTGCAGGAATTATATTCAAATTTGGTACCATTTTATAAAATGGACTTGAGTATGTGCATATTTCCATTTTCTATATAGGGGCCTGGAACCAATCCCACACAGATATTAAGAGACATGGCATTCACTAGCAAGGCACTTATCCATGCAAGGTAGTTTAAGATGTTAGAAGTATTCAGGTTAAAACTAGGTAAAAAAGAATATAAAAGTGATATCACTAACACTGCTCCTCACTTTCTCCTCTAGAAAATCAATCACAATATATTTTCTCTTCCTGGTGTTTAAGTGCCGTGTGCACTCACACCTGCGTACGAGTACACTGGTTCACCCATCCCACAAAATGTATTCGGGGCTTTGTGCACAGCAACGAGTCAGTTCTGGGAGACCGAGGTGAATGAATAAGAGCTGGAGGAAGCTTGTTTAATAGCAAAATTAGGACTGAAACACTATCATAAGGCACTTAGATATTTTATTAAATCAGATTTTTAAAAGAAAATTCAGCAAAGCTACCAATCATTAAAACATCTTAGTGTGAAGAAGTCTCAAAATGTCCAGGACCACAGGGTTTTTATAAGGAGGTATTTGTTTTTATTTTTTATTTTTTTAAAGGAAGAAAGGTTTATTTTGCTCATGTCTTAGTCCACGCACTTGGCTCCTTTGCTTTTAGGTTGTGGTCAGGCAGAACATCAGGGTAGGGAGTATAAGCAGAGCAAAGCTGCTCACCTTATGGTGGCTGGGAAGCAAAAGAGAAAAGAGGAAGAGGCGGGAGTCCCAATATCCCCTTCAAGGATACTCCTTTCATGACCTACTTCCTGCAACCAGACCACACCTCCCAAAGACCACCCCCTCCCAGTAGTGCCATCCTCTGGGGACCGAGCCTTCCCCAAGTGAGCCTTTGGGGGAACATTCCAGATCCAAACTGTAACAACCCATCCTGAGCCCCATTCTTTGCTGTGAGGAGGGATTTGCAAAGGCTCCCCGTCTCTGTCCTCACAGATGTTTCAGTTTATGACATCTGTTGGATATCCTGATGGACATTTGACCAGACCAACTCTTGTTCTTCAGACTCCTCTGCCTGTTAGCATATTCTGTCTTTGGCTAGAACATTTATAAGTGATTTTCTTTTCTTTTTCTGGTGCTGAGGATTGAGCCCAAGAGTGCCCTTCAACTGAGCTACCATACCTAGCCCTTTTTATTTATTTATTTTTTTTTGAGATAAGGTCTCACTGACTCACCCAGTATATCCTTGTATTTGGGATTCTCCTACTTTTAGCCTCTTAAGGTACTGGCATTACAGATATCCACTGCTTCCCCCAGGTTGCTTTTCTAATCTTGTCTCTCTGTAGTCTGTGACCCAGGTTATCCTATATTGAACCTGAGGTGTTTGCAAAATTCCACAGTCACACATTCATAATGCTATAGGTGAGTTCTTAATTCAGCCTATACCTTTTAAATCTGCAGCCTACATTAAATCTAATGTGAAATAACTGAACCAAAAACATGTAGCTCCATATAAGTCGTTTGCATGGTTAAACATTTTTTACCCTCTCTCCTTTCCTTTCTTCCTTATTTCCTTCCTTCTTTTTCTTTTTCTGAGTGTGGTGCTGGGGATTAAGTCCAGGGCCTTGTATATGCCAGGCAAATGCTCTGCACTGAGCTACACCCTCAGCCCTAAATAGCAGTTTTCAAATGATATCATATCATGTGGAATTTCAATAAAAGTTTTTGCAGTTACTAAGTCTTTTCAGATGCTGAAGTCAAAAAGTAACAACAGCAAAAAGCTGTATTTCTTTTTCCAGGTCACAGATCCAAATCTCTCAGCAACTTTATTTTTCCAATATATTATAGCCATGTTTAAGCTTATATAATGACTTCCTAATAATGAAAACCCTAATAACTTCATAACCTCAGTTTGAACCAATATGATAATTCTTCTTCTTTCAATGCCGTGAGTTATGTCCTATATAAGATTACTGAGCACACACAGATTTTATGCAAGACTGCTAGACTGAAAAGAAATCTAATCCATTGACTGTCTCCATATTTAACCTGTTTTAAGAATGTAAAACTAGAATATAAATTTCCCTTGCTTGTATTTTTGTGTTGTGATATTTAGTATTTCAGTCAATATTTCTGGAAATATAATTACTGACTTACCTAATCCACTATTACTTTTTCTAAAAAAGTATTTTTTGCAGTGCGAGGGATTGAAGCTAGAGCCTCATGCATACTAGACAAATACATCACCACTAAGCTGTATCCCCAGCCCCCCTCCCCACTGTTGCTTTTAACTTAAAATTACCCTGGAGTTTTCAAAAAGCATATAAAGAAGACTTTAATTCTTGTTTTGTTTTGTTTTTTCCGGTACCGGGAATCGAACTCACGACCTTGCGTTTTCCAGGCAGGCGCTGTGCCGCTGAGCTAAATTCCCAGCCCCAGAAGCCTTTAATTCATGACCATAAACATACTCTGATTGCCACATACAGTATAAAATACTTATGTCACTAAATAATTACTGCAAACGGCAGCACTTAAACCCTGAGAGGTGTGGGCTCCTCAGCCAGGCAGGTGTGCTACTGGGTTTGAGATACCCAGCACAGATATGCCTTGGCACTGAGATGGACCTATAACGAGGTATTTGAAGTAAGCTAAGAGAAGTGTTGTGGAGAATCAGGTGTCCAGTGAGGGCTGGAGTCAGACACTGATGACCTTTTGATCCTGCATCCTCTAGGATCTCTGTGTCCAAATCCATCTTAATTGTGAAACATTGGATAACCGATGTCCCACATAGTGAATCCTCTGCCCAGAGTGTCCCTCTCAGCCTCCAGGGACATCTTCCTCCTTTCTTGCCCATAAATCTGTGCCCTGTTATTACATTTTGGTGACATTTTTACTTTTGTTCTTTTTCATCTGCTGCAGGCATTTGAAGACAAAGGGAGCAGCTAACTTCTATGTTTTAATTCATTAGTAGGCAAACAGGGACATGAAATGAGAGTACTGAGGAAAAGAGGGAGGAGTCACAGGCTGGTTTTTGTTGTAAATATTGGAAATAGCTATTACATATAGAACAGAGAACACAATGATGCAGGAACTTTCTTTGGAATAAAAACCATAAGCCAAGACAAAAAAAAAAAAAAATAATGAAGTAAAGACAAGTCTTGTCTAATACCAATATTATTACTTTAAAAACTCCTATCATTGGAGGTTCTTGTTTCAATTAGGAAAAATCATCAAGGCAAGCAAAGCACTGGTCAAATGTTTACCCACTTAGGTGCTGAATTCCTGTCTTTGTATGCATGGCGTCTTATTCTCTTCCTAGCTAATACCTCAGATGACATACTGAACTAGGGGTTAGGAAATGCCTTGAGAATGGGTTGTGTGCCTGAAAGACAACCTAGAAATTCCGAGCTAACCTGGGACACAGCATGCAGTAAAAGTAGAAATCCCCCTGAGATCTAAGGATTTGCGTGACTGGGTCAGGCTTTTGGTAGATCTGTGTTCCCACTGAAATTCTTTGGCACACAGACACAATCATCTACCATGCGGATGCTTAGAGAAGCGGCCCTCTTCTTCCATGTATTTATTGTTTTAGTTAATTTTAGAGGAAGGCTCCGGCACTGTGTCACGTGTACCTGTCAGGTCATCGGTCGGCCAGGACCCCAGCTGGCACGCCTTGCAGGTGTACTCATCAAAGACGTACTCGTTCTCCTTACAGGGTGTGCACGTCCAGCAACAGCTGACTTCTCCCTTCCGAATCACCTAAGGGAAATAGTTAAAATTCTGATTAATTCTTTCCATCTTAGCAATTCCTTATTGAAATATATTGTACTGTTTTACAAAACACAAAAGGCCTTTACATAAATTATTTAAAATGATATCAGATAGGCAGAAAAAAGTATTAATACTCTGATAATTAAACAAACTAGGATGAGTTCAAATAATGAGTCTAGTGCCACTAAGCTGGTTGGCAGCAGGTCTGAGAATTAAGTTGTATGGGAGTGCTAGGATAATTAGCTTTTGAAACTTATAATAAGTATTTATGTTTGTGCTCATGTGCGCATGCATATAATTCTACAAGGACCAGGGATGTAGCTCAGAGGCACAAGCGCCTGCCTGGCAAGTGCAAGGTCCTGCGTTCAACTCCCAGTACCAAAAACAAAAGCCATATAATTCTACAAAACTAAATCCTCACCAAGATTGTGTGCCTCTTCTCCTGAACCTACCTTAGCTTTTTACCACTACTGAAATAATTGTGGCCAGAAAACATCTTATAGATTTCATTTTCAAAAATCTGTCCAAATTTCTGAAAATAGTTGAAGAATTTGCTTTGGATAGGAAGAATCAGAAAACAAAAAGCTTTCTGGATAAAAACTTTCTCTCTCTTCTTCTTCTCCCCTGCCACCCCTAGGGCCTTTGCACTGAGTAGAGATAATTTCTTGGTCTGGTTCAATAATTCAGCCCATTTTTTTCATATTTGGTAGCTTCGCTTGGCTTAGGATGAAGATAAAGTCATTGAGAGTACTATATACCATTTCATTTATTTGATTTTTTTAAGACAATGGAAAGTAATTGAAATAATTTAGCACATGAAGGCATCCCAGATATTATTTTTTAGAAATGGATATATCTTCCCTCCACCAACCACCAGCAGTGCACAAATAGCCTCTGTGGAACATGTTCAGAATTCATTGAGCATTCTTATAAACCATTAAAACAGCAGCGATTGCATTTTACATTCCTCATCTTAGATGCTGGCTGTATCAATGTACTTTGATAACAATACTGTCCAAACACATATAACCTAATATAACTGTAAAGGGCCTATCTTTATTACGTTTGGTATTATCCCTATGGTGACTCTTAAAACTGCAACACTACAAGTTGAGAATGGTGACAAAAGAACCTGAAACATCTTTTCCCTAAATGTATTTAATAAGTGAGGCAAAATTGATAATCAGGTCTGCTTAATTTAGTGAAAATATTCTTCATTATTACAATGTATTTAGTGCATGCCATATGTTGTGATGCCATTAAAACATTTGTCTTTTTTATTTCATTCATACTTAGGACAGAAAGCTTGAGTATAGTTAGCTCATAATGCATTTTGATGTAAATGGCATATCAAGTAGCATATGCTGGAGTTCAAGCCTCCTGCTCACAGAGTCTAAGCTTATTGAAGGATGGACTTTATATTATTATGAAAGCTGTGGAAGAGCAAGCGCTGGCCATGGAATCAAGAGGCACCAGGCGCTGGTCTTCCTCACAGGCACTAAATAGTTGCACAGCTTCGAACAGTCCTCAGTTGATGCCTGGTTTCCTCAAACAGCCTATTGACTGTGTTATAATAATACTTTGTAGGATTCTCTGAGGATTAAATTAGATATCACCAAAATTTATGAGGTACAGAACACCCTAAAATGTTACTTGGTTGTGTTAATAACAAGCATACTTATACACACACAGAGGATGGAAGAATATAACTTTCAGTGTAAATTAAAGCAAACCTGGTAAAACTATCAATGACAATAAAATTTTGAAATGCAAGTACATATATTTAGAATATTGAAAGATTTTCTTTTTAGACCTTAGGAAGGACGAGCACATAAAAGCAGTTTTATTTACCTCCTAGAAATATGATGACTTCTATCATTCATTTTTCTTTGTGAATATCAGTATTTTGTTAAAATACATCCATATACTTTTCTAAGAATAATTTCAATATTACAATCTCTTTTTGAACCAATTGTGACAACTTAATCTGTCTTCTGATTATTCAAAACAAATTTACTTCTGTCACAGGTTATATCCTATGTCACATTCATTTTTAATAATAAAAAAATGTAGTAGCCATTCTCTTTCACAGCAATTCTGAACATTTTGAACATCTGTACAATGCTTTAGAGTTTGCTAGACTCAACCCCTTAATGGAAACTAAGTTTACAAATGAGATTTTATCATTAATGAAGTTATTAGTTACAACTTTAAACCCTATTAAGAAAATGAGATTGAATTAGATTTGGAGATTAAAAAAAAGACTAAAACACTTTTACATAATAACCAGAATAAAAAATGTTTTTATTTTTTTAATACATATTTGCTGCCAGGCGTGGTGGTGCACGCTTGTAATCCCAGCACTCGGGAGGCTGAGGCAGGAGAATTGTTGCAAGTTTGAGACCATCCTGGGCTATAAGGTGAGCTCAAGGCCAGCCTGAACTGTGTACTGAGACCCTGTCTCAAAAAGACACTATGTATATATATATTTGCTGTATATAATGTGTGCATCCTTGTGTGGAGTTGATGTGTGTATGTAACACCTGATTCCTCTTGTCATCCCCTTTCTCTCCTCTTCTTACTATTTACTCCATCTCTTGATCCCTTTCCCCTTTGAGAAAGATCTATTTCCCTCCTTCCTATTATCTAGCTTTTATTTTGCTCTCTATTTATAATTTGGGTTTCTAGCATAAGGAAACAATGTGATATTTAAACTTGTACAATAGGTCACCAATTCTTTCATTTCATAATTCTAGTAGACTGAGGTAAAAAATCTTATCTGAAGAAATCACTCAAATCAGCCACTCAGTAAGTTGAAGTTGCTTTAAATTGAGTAATTGTGAAGAGCCAAAATCAAGGGACATCTATATCACATTTTACATTACATAATCTTTCTCGGAAGCACAGGAGATTATAAACAATTGATATCTTTAGTGAGTCTACAGAAGATTTCACAGGAAGAGTTCAGCTGCAAGATTATTGATTAAGATGCATGTCTCTTTTCTCACTTTATATCGGAAGTGAGCATGCTTTTTCTTCAGAGGGATAAATAGTAAATATTTAGGCTTTGGGTCATATAATCAGTATTACTATTCATCATCTTATTGTTGCTACAGTTTCATCAAAACAATCATAGAGTGGGGCTGGGGATTTAGCTCAGCGGCACAGCGGTTGCTGGGCAAGCACGAGGTTGTGAGTTCAATTCCCAGCACTGGAAAAAAACAAAACAAAACAAAACAAAACAATCATAGAGGATATGTTTAAAAAATAAGCCTGGATATATTTCAATAAAACTTTACTTATAAGACAGGGAGCTGACTGTATTTATACTGTGGGAGGATTTTTAACTCTTTGTGCATATGAAAACAAAACAAATTTTCTGGTACTTAATCAACTTTTGAACCACTTAGCAGATAATTAATATTTATCTTTTTTGGTTTTGCCTTTCTTTCTTCTAGTCTTATGCTTTCCAAAACTTCAGAACCACCCCTTGGGTACTTTACTACCAATATTAAAATATTTCTGCTTCAATCAAACATCTCAAATGTGCTGTAAACAGAGTTAAGGTGAGGTTGATTGAAAAAAATAAGGCCAATTGTTTCCTTGCCTGAAATGGTACTGTGTACGTATTTCATGAAAAAATTAATTATTTTGACATACTATTTCCTCTGCTAGGATAATCAGGAAGAAATAGTTACAACCAATAGCTAATGTGCTCCCTTTTAAATTTCATTTTTGTCCTCTTCTTCATGGGCTGTTTATTTTCTGGAAGAGCAGATAGGTCATGTTTTGTATAAAAGGTGCTTTTCAGTGTCCTCAAATTGCCAAGTTGCTTTTTACCATAGACTTCTATTATTATGGCTGTTAGGTAACAGTATTAGTTACCATTATACCCTACCCACTTGGCAGGCTCTTGTCTCCTCAAGACCCAGACAAAGGGATCATCCTCCATCTGCATGTCTCTCTCATTCCTTCTCTTCCTTGGCCACCGCTTCCACTGACCACAACCTTACCTGAGGATGTGCTCCCTGTTCTATGTTTCTCCGCCACTTGCTGCTCAGTATCTCTTTAAAGGAGTTATTCTCTAGTCCTTACTCTTGGTCCACATATTTTATCAAAATGTCCAGGCTGAGCAGTTTTATCTACTCTTGAGATTCAACTTGAGCTCCGCTCACTTTCTAAATCTGGGTCTTTAACTTTATCTCTGATTGTTCTGAGCCACTTTTCCCTGGCAAGCTACCTGAAAATCACCATGCCTCCAAATAATCCATTACCCTTTCTCTGAAACCATCCTCTCATTTCATTCCTGAGTATGGCACAGGTGCTCATGCTTGGAATTGCGATTTATTATCTGAGACTTTTTTCTCTCCTTTAACCTGATGTTGAATCAGAGCTAAGATGGATTGGGCCTATCTCTGTGATGTTTCCCCCAAATACATTCCCTGACCCTCTTTTCCTTCTCATACTTTTTTCCTCAAGTCAGGGCTTTTCTCACCAGCATAACAGTGCCCTTTAACATTTCCTCATTTTCCATTTTTTATAGTTCTATGCTTTAACCTTCGCTTGTGTAAAAATCTTGGTCAAAATTATCCTTTGACTCCTGATCAATAAAAATTCAGTTCAATATATGCAACATGACACCAAAAACTCCCACAAGTCTGGCTTCAATGCATCATTTTCAACTTTTCTTTTATAATAACCAATTAGAATTGCCATTTATGTATCCTAGATTACTCACAGTTGAATAAATATCTAACTGACCACTACTGTATCTTTTCTATTACTAGTCTTTCTATATAAATGATCTCTCTCTGAAATCATAACTGTTTCTATGACCCAGAGCTTGGTATTTTATTCAAAATAAATCTCCCTTTTGCATAAATTTATATAACATACTTTATTCCTTTCTTGCCACATTTTCATAATAGTAGTTTTCATGCTCATGACATTTTTCTTCATTTAGACAGTAGTGTAGTGGATGTCTTACCTATATTTGTCCCACTGATATTAACTGTTGTGTTGAGGAATTCATGAATATTTGTTAAATTATCTACAATTAATGTGTTTTCCAATTCTAATTATCCATCCCCCAAAAAACACTGTATTTAAATGCTTGCATATAGAAAAAGGATGGGGAAAAACAAACATGCCTGCTTAATCATTTCAATCTGGTTCGACCAGCTGCCAAGACTGATGTGGGTTGCATGCTAGGCCTTCTAATAATTAAAGAGAATAAAGTAAAAAAAAAAATTTCTAATATTAGAAACATACAATGCAAAAAGTAAAACGTGTCAATTTTTATTAATTTTATTGGCATATATTTATAACACAGAATAACTGCGTTCATTTGTGGCCTATATATATA